TATCTAAAAATATAAATTTATTTATATTGCAATAAAAATCATAATCAAAATTATAAAATATTCTGCCACACTAACAAAGTTAAAGCAAAAATAATTTTAAAAAAAATTATTCCAACTATAAGTTCTAAAAGGTCATAGTGATATTGTCACGACCCAAATCCGCTCCTATAGGTTTAGCGTCGTAACCGGCCAGCAATCATCGGATTACCAAAGGCCTTTGACCTGAACATATCATGAAATATAAGGGCTAGCAGAAGCAAATAGAGAAATATACATAGCCTATAGAGTTGTGCAGACATACATGAGACAGAAAATATTTAAAACTTATATGTAATGTCAAACTTCCATACGTCATGTATCACCATACAGATACAAATAGTGTCGTAAGGGATTTAGCCCAAAGTACAGATAGACAAAAACATTATTCACATGATGCACAAAACTTGACTTGACAAACGGGATCCTCCCTAGGAGGCACGGTGGCTGGGTAACAAAACAAAACTCCTCAAGTAACAACTTAGGCCTGGTCACGCGCCTGCTCACATACATACATAATATAAATAGTGAGCAGAAGTCCAGTGAATAATAACAGAATAAAGGATTTAATGAATGTTGTCTATAACAGTTATAGAAAACGGAATTCATAATCAGAATTTAAAAATCAGAGTTCATAACAAAAACAAATTCAATATCATACTCATAATTAGGATTTGCAGTTAATCATACGTGGCACATCCATTAGCACTAGCAGAAACAATTAACCCATAAAGGGACGGCCATGAAGGCATACAGTTGACTCACGTGCACGGAGACGGTACAGTTGGCTTATGAGATGTACAGTTGACCCATAAAGAGACGTATACAAAAAGATCCATAACAGTTGACTCATGAGATGTACAGTTGATCCATAATTGGAACGTAACAGAACAGATAACAGATGTCATCTAAAGCTAAGAATGCCATGAATACATTTAAGAAATATTGGACAACCATTCATTCATGTAGAAAACAATGTTTCAGAAAAACAAATCATCTTATATCATTCAGAAAATACTTATAATTGAATATAGCTTTACAAAGTTATTACTCACAGATGGCTCTAATTACAGAACAGATGAAGCAGACAGATCAGATAGCTTACGGCGCGTGACCTACAAACGACATATAACATGTACACATTGAAACAAACTCTCAAAATTCATAACAGTCATTGTGTTTCGTTCTTAGTGTGTTTCTAAGTCTTATCCTCATTATTGTATCTTAATCATGGCTTAGGAATACCTAGGATGCGATGAAGATGCCAAAATACACTTTGAAACAGTTAGTCAATCATACTGAAAACATGGGCCTCACTTGAGCGCAACTTTCTTCGCTCAAGCAGTCTGTAAACTCTAAAAAAGTACTGGTTGCTTGATTTTTCCACTCGACGGATGCTCGATGGTCACTCGAGCGTGAGATTGAGGTCTTCGCTCAAGTGCAACTCTTATCGCTCGAGCGGTCTGCAAAATGTGTGAACTTCTGAGAGCATGCATTTCACGCTCGAGCCAACTTTTGGTCGCTCGAACGGAAGTGCAAGATCGCAGAGTGGTCGCTCGAGCACAGGTTCACTTGAGCGTAGAAGAAGAATTCTGAAATTTTCAAATTTGTTTCCAAGCTTCAAAACCCAACTCAATGCTACAAATCATGTTCTCTTGGGCTAAAAACTCAAGGAAACTTGTGTAAACTTGGAAAATATTTTGAATTCAAAACCATTTCGCAAAATCAAGGCTCAAGAGTAAGTTAATTGTGCAAACTCAAGCTTAAAGAACATAACATGTATGCATTGATATGAATTCAAACCTTCCAAAACATGATTATTAAGGTCATGTGATAGGAAATGTGGTGAATTCTTAAAACCAAGCTAGAATTATTACATGCATGAGGGAATTCTCTTGAAAACAACATCAAAACTCCATGAAATGCACATGCATGCATGGTGTGATCTAAACTCCTTCCTTTCTAGCTCAATCCTTGTCTTACACAACTTCATTCTCATGAATTCATGTCTTGGGCATCAAAATTGTACATTCAAAGGGTTGAATTATTACCTAAACTTTCTGAGGTGAGAGCTAGAGGCTTAATTCTTGAGTCTTTAAGTCCAATTCTTCTTCTTAGTTTGAGCTCAAATCTTCTCATTTCTCTTCCTTTCTCACGTTTGTTGTGTGTGAGTAGGCTCAAAGGTGCGATTAAGGAAAAAGATGAGTGGTGGCACATATAGGAGCTTTATATAGGCCTGATTAGTGGTGATTAATTAAAGCTAATCAAATGGACATTAATTATTCTAATTTAATTGTTCCAAATCGGATTTTACTTAGACCTACCATAAAATTCTAAAAATTTCAAATAACACATAACTCAAGTGAATTTCGTGATCGGATAACGATAAGGCCATCAATTTGCAAAACAAAACAGAAACTGAAACAGATATTTCTACGATAAACATATATAAACACAAATAATCATATGCATACGTAATTAACATAGGATTTCATCTAAATTACGTATTAAGCATCCTTAATCATGGTTTAACAGTTAATCTTAGGTCGGGGTTGTTATAGTCTTCCTCCCTTAAAGAATTTGGTCCTCCAAACTCGAATTACCTTCATTTTGGAAGAATATCGGGTCCAGAGGGAACAAGTCAGGGTATCTTCTCATCATATTTTCTTCTGTTTCCCATATTGCATAGGTTCCATCATGATTCTGCCAATCAACTTTCACCAACGAAATTCCCTTGTTTCTCAATCTTTTGATTCTTCCGTTAACAATTTGGATTGGTTGTTCTTCGTATGTGCAGTCATCCTTTAAAAGTACGTATGTCAGCCCAGTAACATGTAATGGGTCCCTTAAATAGTCTCAGAGCATTGAAACGTGGAAAAAGTTGTACATATGTTCCATGACTGGCGGTAAGGCTACCCGGTACGTCATCGGGTTGATTTTTCTCAAGGATCTCATATGACCAAAATATCTCGGTACCAACTTGCCTTTCACTCCGGACCATGTCTAGCTTTTCATTGGAGTCACTTTTATAAACACATGATTCTCGATCTCATATTCTCTATCTTGCTTTCAGACATCTGCATAACTTTTTTGCCGACTCTGCACGGTTTTCAAGTGTTGCTGTATTAGCTTCACTTTCTTAGTTGTCTGTTGGACCAGTTTTGGCCCCAATAATGGTCTATCACCAACTTCGGCCCAACAAATTGGGGAACAACACTTCCTACCATACAAAGCTTCATAAAAAGCCATACCGGTACTCGAATGATAGCTATTATTATACACAAACTTAGCTAGTGGTAAATAGGTCTCCTAATTGCCTTGGAAATCTAGGGCACACATTTTAAACATATCTTCCAAGGTCTATATCATTCTTTCTGATTGGTCGTCTGTCTGTGGGTGATAAGCACTGCTCAATCTCAACTCAGTTCCTAAAGATTGTTGCAAACTCTGCCAGAATCTTGAAGTAAACTTGTGATATCTGTCGGATACTATGAAAACTGGAACTCCATGCAATTTCACAATCTCATTGAGATACAAATTTGTGAACTTATCCGCATTATATAAAGATTTGACAGGAAAAAAGTGCGCATATTTAGTTAAACGATCAATAATGACCCAAATAGAATCCATACCTCAGGAAGAGCAAGGCAATCCCACAATGAAGTCCACGGTAATATGCTCCCATTTCCATTCTGGTATTGGAAGCGACTAAAATAGTCCAGCGGGTCGTTGATGTTCAGCTTTAATTTGTTGGCAATGCAAACATCTGGCTACAAAATCAGCAACGCTTTTCTTCATGCCAGGCCACCAGAAATTTTATTTTATGTCTTTGTACATTTTCATATTTCCCGGGTGCATAGCAAATTTGGAATTATGGGCTTTGGTTATAACATGCTTTCTCAAATCAAAACAATTTGGCACACAAAGTCGATTCTGAAATTTCAACACATTGTTCTCTAACACAAATCTTGATTTCAATTTTGAATCAATCTCATCAACAATTTTCTTCAAGAATGCATCTTCCAGTTGTTTCTCCTTTTGTGCAGAATGGAATTCTTGTGTCTTCGAATTTTGCTTTTGAAAATGATGCACACTTCCTTCAACTCTTTATAAATACCCAGATATGAGCTTTGTGAATATATAGAGTCCATTTTACATGCACACTTTAAATGAGGTAGGTAGTGGAGGGAAGAAATGAGGTGGTTCAATTTGTTTAATGAAGTAGTTGGATGGTTGTATGTGTAAATGATGCATTCATGAAGATGGTGAAGTCTACAGGCTTTGAAAAGTCATGGAAAATAAATATTCACACTTGGATGCCTCACAAAAGTCCAGGACTTTGATGAAATTTATTTTTTTAAAAAAATTCCCATCAATTATAATTGGGTCAAAAGTTGTTCTGAATTAATATGGAGCATTTTAGATGCTACTGTCAAATTATTTGACAGTAGTAATCTCCATGTGGCTATCAACCAATTTGCCAAACTGAAAAAAAGGTACCATGAAGTAGATCAAAGTGAGAACAAATATGAGTTTGCTTGCCATTTCAACAGATTACTTAAATGATATTAATAGTAAATTGGATTCCATGACATTAGTAAATTTAATATTAATAGTACATTCAAATTTCAATTAGAACATCAATAATAGTAACAGTACATTTCACATTTCAATTAGAACATCAGTAAATTATCACATTAGTACATTGAAAATTAACACTAAATCGGATATTGACAAAATTAATGGACCAATAATACTGACAAAAACAAACGTGTACAGGTTGAAGAGCACCAACAACAAACACTGACAGCATTTGAGTAACAACACAAATGAAGTGTGTACAGGTTTAAGAGCAGCAACAAACACTGACAGCCATCCTTGCATAATCACCTCCCAATCAAAAAAGCCAACCAAAAGTTCATCCTCTCGTCCACGTGGTGAAGTTAGTTTTCACCATGAAGATGTCACATATGTTCTATTAAATCATTGCGGAGGGCATGATATGCATTCTTATCTCTAATACCTAAATGACGGGACATAAATGATTCAAAGTCATTGTTACTAGTACACAAAACTACTACTGGTGAGTTGGTTGATGATGTTTCATAATCGAAATCAAGATGCTCATCTCTCTTATCTTCAACAATCATATTGTGCAATATAACGCAACTCTTTCTTATGTTACCAAGCATTTTGGGATCCAAAAAATGTACTGGACCACCTACAATTGCAAATTGGGATTGGACCACTTCGAATGCCTGCTCTACATCCTTCCTTGCTGACTCTTGCATCATTACAAAATGTTGCTTCTTTACTCCTTGGAGAGATGAGATTGTCTGAACTAGTGTTGCCCATTGAGAGTATATACCGTCAGCAAGGTAATAACCCATATTATAAGTGTGTCCATTAATAGTGTAATGGACAGGCGGAGCTTTACCTTGGGAAAGATCAGAAAATAAGGGTGACCAATCCAAGACAGTCAAGTTATTGTGTGATCCATGCATGCCAAATCCATAAGTCATAAGAAGCTACTGCTTCAACAATGATGGTTGGCTTTTTCTGATAGCCTACGTATTGACCTTGCCATGTCGTTGGAAAATTTTTTCACTCAATGATTGCAAGTTGGGCAAAAATGGCGGCTAAGATCTCACCTTGTTCACTCAGTCCAATTTCAGTTTCATTCTTCTCTAGGTCATACAACAATTCTTTCTAACTAGTGAGCAAACATGACAAATTCCCGATTGATTTTTTGTTCAATGCATCTGCAATGGTATTGGCTTTCCCTGGATGATATAGAATCTGCAAATCATAATCCTTTATCAATTCCAGCCATCTTCTCTATCTCATGTTCAGTTCTTTTTGGGTGAAAAAGTATTTGAGGCTTTTATGGTTAATATAAACTTCATAAGTCACTCCGTACAGATAATGACGCCAAATCTTTAGTGCAAAAACCATAGCTACAAGTTCAAGGTCATGGGTCGGATAGTTCTTCTCATGTGGTCGGAGTTGTCGTGAGGCATAAGCAATCACTTTACCATTTTGCATGAGTACACATCCCAAACCTTTATATGAAGTGTCATTGTAAATTTGAAACCCACCAGTACCATTAGGTAATGTCAGGATATGTGCGGTTACCAATCTAGTCTTCAATTCTTGGAAGACCGATTCCCCGCTGCTCAATCCAATCAAATGGTACATTTTTCTGTGTCAACTGTGTTAGTGGCATAGCAAGTTTTGAAAATTCTTTCACGAATCTATGATAGTAACTTGCAAGCCCTAGAAAGCTTCTGATTTCTGACACATTAGTTGGTCTTGGCTAGTTGTAGACGCGCCCTCGGGCCTCATGCTACAGTTCGGACTCAATTTGTGTCACGGTCCTTAATCTGAACCAAAGAGTCCAAATCCGGCAAATCGTTTTGAGAAACAGATTTTTGAAAAGAAGTGCCAAACATGGACTGCTTTGCCAGATACAGAGTCGCCACCTAAATATTTTATTTTGG